TCGGGATATCTTTAACGAAAAATCTCATCTGTCTGCTCAAAATTTGTTCACCAACAGAATATATCTCGATTGATGTTTCGGCATAGATGACATGGTGCATCATTTCTTCATGACCAGAGTAATTTCGCAGTAGATTGCATTGCCCAGTTGCTCCTAGTTGCATGAAAGCCATTCAGCAGACCACGTCTTCATGACATTTAAGCATCTGCAGTGCAAGATGCATCTCTTATCATTTTGTCCGCAAGAGTCACCCCACATTCATCACGAGCAGAGAAAGAGAAGATACTCCTTATTAACCAGCCTATATGACATATCTCCTATACAAGAAAGTTGTTCATTAATATTTCATTGATATTTATGATGAGTATTGAATCCCTGTGATGTTGCTGTTTGAGCAAAGATCAGAAGGACCATCAAAAGCAAACGTTATCCTGATGAGGATATGTGAATTGCAGATCGACACGTTGATGGAAATTTGGCTCAATGGCCACCCTCTGGTTGCGACCTATATTAAATAATCAGCGTACACATCGTCTATAGTCATGATTTGACGTCAGTTACTCTAAAAAGCGCATCAATGAAAAGCGATTCAGATTTTGTTACAGCCAATCACCTTCACTAATGTCGCCTGTAATATCTGGAGAAAATCATGCACTGCGTACTGAGAAGGAAACTTCACCGAAATATTCGATTCATGGCAGTTCCCACCGTCCAACGACTCGTAAGCAATGACGCTGTCGCCTCTTAGAAATGAAGGGCTGGACAAAGATGAAGAAAAGGGCTGAACAAAGATGAAGAACTGAAAGATCGGCAATTCTCGATGTTCCTTCCGCTTTCATTGCGGTGTCACGTGAGCTCTTTGGATAATGGCTCTCACTTGCCATCCCCCACTCCATGGGGGCTAGCAAACTGTTCCTCCTATCGTCGCAGTTTGTCAAAATCGGCAGGAAGAAATATGACGTTGTAGTGAACAATCTGGGTTTCTTACAAGACTGTGTTCTTTCACCCTTATTGTTGAATATTTTTATAGATCATTGCGTCGCTAATACCTCTGTTGAATACGTAGGTTATTCTGACACCAGCCTTTCTCAGGCTCTCTAAAGCCGTCTGCAGAATGAGGTAGCTGCAAGATTTGATTGGCTGTGACAGCGTGGCGGCCATCTGTCATTATTGTTTCACCAATGAACTCCTAATTAGTCCGAAGAAAGCAGATCCGTCAAATGGGCTGTTCCAGAAACCAGGCACCTACCGATTTTTCCACTAAAACCACGCACATATCTGATCAGCCAATGTCGTAGCAACAGCACGTCATGGTCCCCCTGTCATGACTTCACATGGCACTGGCCTGTTGAATGCTACATTGTATTGGTATCTTTCTATGTTATGACGAAGGGCATTGCGTGCTTCTCAAGAATTTCTTCTTTATGTGCATTTTCTATGTACACAAACGCAACTCGTTTATTGGGCTCTTGGCGTGCGACATAAAACAATTAGGAATCACTTAACGTTGTTTCAAGACCTTGTGATCTTTGTTTAAACAATTTTCGAGCCCTGGCCTGACTGAATCAGCTGTAGCACATTGCGTTCATGTGGGGAATAACACTGAACAATCGATCTATTCCCCTTATGGTAGCCATGCTCAGTGCCTGTGACGCAGCGCATTCACCAAATTCATACTTGTTCATATATCTTTCCTGATACACCTCTACGTGAAATCATTTATTCTAGTTTCATCACACATTCTCAGGACTGCGGTGCACTTATGCAGCATTACTTGGCAAACTTGTCACTGATAAATAGTTCGTTTTCTCTTGATTTACTGTGATCCTTCATCCGACCTTTAGTTGATCGGCATTCCATTCGTGATGCCATCCGTCTTGAACTATTGCCGGATTTAGAGAAGTGAAGTACTTTGACTTGGGGAGGTTTTGTCATGGACAGATGTCACTGAAAATTAGCCAGCAACCACTTACATACGTTTCACTCTTAGAAACTAACGTTTCAGACCAAGCTCCTTTCGAAATGTCATTTTCTCGCAATAAATGTCCTTAAATAAATTTTATTTGCGTTATTTGTCGCTTTTGAAGGGAAAAAATCAGATGGAAATGTGATGTCAGATCAGTTATCAGCGGAATTGGCTGTAGGACTGGCAACAGACAGTTTAAAGCAGCCTGTTTCGAACTCAAAGAGCATACTTAATAGTTGAGTTTCAGTCGATCTGCCAGGCTTTGTCGTCCAACTTACTGCGTCATGCGTTCTCTAAAAATCTTTAGTTTGTGTCAGCTGACGAAAGCCAATTAAAACTTTGATCTATAAAAATTATGTGTGCGTAAAACTATTTCCGTGCTCCTATAAGGTATTAATATAGCAGAAAAGCCTGGACGGTAAAATAATTACTTGATTTATTAATGTCGAAAGCACCTTGCTTTGAATAACGACAACGGATTATTTGCGTTTTCGGATTTCGCGCATTTCCCTCAAGTCCTTCTCATCAAGTCTTCTATTTAAAGTTCACTTCTGGCTTTGCAGTGAAAGTTCTCGAAGGTTCACCGTTTGATTGGCCGGCACTAGAAAACGAATCAGTCGGTCGTAAATGACTTTTGACTGAAAGGAATGTGGTCTTAAGAGCTAATCAGAGTGTGATTTTTGTACGATGCAACAGTGGAGAGCCTATCCTCTACTTCCAGTCGACGCCGGCGTTAATCATCCGGTCGCTAACGTGGTTCTGTTTTTTCTACTGTATGTAAAAACGAATCAAAGAGTTCCGACAGAGTTCTGGTTTCTCTTGACAATCTGCCGCCTTGACTCTATGCATTTTTTCACGTTTCCATTTAACATCATCTTCTGGCATTGAGATATGCTTTTCGATGTTGCATACGAAATCTTTTCTGGTTACAAAAGTGCTGGAACTCGACCAAATGAATTATGAGGCGATTCTGGCGTGTATCTTTGCCTTGGATATTAATAGATAGTGTTTCCGATCTCATTACAGGACATCGGTATGCAAGGGTGATGCAGATCGTTGAAGGGACTGTGTCTTAAAGTAGGGAGGTTCTCAGGATGTTTCATATCATTTGTACGGATGTTCTTCTCTGGCTTCATCGATGTTTGCTTCACGTTGCGTACGCGATCACTTGCTTTCTCTTTACGCGTGACAGAAAATGGCAGTTCGTACAAGTCTTTATGTTCATAATATTGATGATTCTCATGCATCTAGTGGATCGCAGTTTTCATCCATGGGAAGGATCTTATGCATACTTCAGGGAAATATTTGTTCTGCCTATAATAATGCTACGTACTGTGACAGTGGTAAGGGAGTCATCATTTTTCCAAGCAGATGCGACGCTACTGCTAGGCTGGTTTTCTAAAGATTTCCAAACTCATGGTTATCCAAATGAACAAAAGTCTGATTCAATTATTATCTATGAATCATCGTTCAGGTTTTCCGTGACTCACATTTTATTCTGCTTGCCTTTTTTAAAGTCTGTATCAGTGATGACCTCTCTATCTTTCTGTTTGGATTGTAATAATTTATCTACAGAAAACTGCCATAAAAGGCATAAGGCCTATCGACCAAGGCCAACATCGTCTCATTAACTGGCAGAGATTGAAGGCAGGTCTTGACGGTTACTTAGTGCTAATAGCTAGTCCTTCTCCTTTTCATGAGATTTCATACTTTGCTCGTTGCCAAAACAGCATAACGAAAAAACAGAAACAGAATGACTTTGAAATCCTCTGTAGGCCGGGAGCTTGCGTATGACTGAACTTGGTCTTGGACTTTACCCGTGATTGACAGAGGTGGAAAGCGGAGTGCAGGGACATCACTGGAGCTCAATAAACCAGTGTTGGTGGAAATCGTGACAACAGCAACATAAGAACTTCTGAGAGCTCGATGGTTTACTAAATAATTTTTATTGTTAATTCTGGATCAGTCATTGTCTACGGATAAATATCCGTTGAAGGGAGAAATTTAAGTCGTTGCACATAGATTCTCTTCAAAGGCAAAGACGAGGGTTTAGTTTTAATTTTACAAACCTGTGTTGCCGTTAGCTCTATCCAGCACACCAAAACGTAGTTAAAGCAAGCCTTTTACCAGTATGCCGAGTTCCGTTTCGTTCACATTGCTGTTTGAGTTATGTTTATAAAATGCACCTTTCACAGAGGCTCCGAATAGCAGGAAACAATAATTGTGAGATCTATGGGAAGGTGTAGTTTTGATCGAACATCTATGGCAATCACTGACCACCTCGCCAGTGGACTTGAGACTCAGCGGAGAGGATGCGATGTGGAAATGCGTAATTAGCCGCCGTCGGCTACGAGAGTCGTTCTTGACGCGAGATCGAGATCTGACGGATTTGGCCTGCCGTCGTCGAATAGTATTTGATAGCCGGATGGCAGCAGCCTTGTTTTTTACGCAAAATGAGTTATTGCGTTGCGGTGGTCCGCAAGCAAGCTTGTGCACTGCTTGTTTAATCGATACGCTAGACTTAACATTTTGCTGGAATACTGGAAAAAATTTTTTTCTAGGTTTTATTCGCACAAAATCGTACTGGTTAAATGCAGTGAAGTGTTTGAGCGCATGCTTAGTAAAGAATGGAACGGCAATAAGAAGGTGGGTGAAACGGTTAATAATTTGTTATGCACGTAAAAGATAAGAAGCGGTGCCACGTTCTGGTGCACTGTATGGCACCGTCGATGTCCACCTGCATTTCGGTCGATACCACGGTCGGTTTGTGCGAACTATCAGATCTCTTGCAGCATGGACCAATCATCAGTGTAATGACGGTTTTCGCACATTAAATATTTCTTTCGTTTGTTCTGCTGCTGCTGCTCTCTGTTTTGTTATTAAATTTGAATTTTTGCTAATACTTGACGTGTGTTGCATACCGCAGTGTCAGTTACTCGGTCGGTCAGTGAGTCATTGTCGGCCGGGAACAGTTTTTCTAGCCGAAATGAAGACATTTCTGAGCAATAAGTAGCTCGGCATAACGCCGAGTTGTTCCAGTGACGAAAGACGAGAAGCAGAGGTGATTTCTACGAACGAAGCATACGAAAGCTGCCGAAGCCGGCTGCGTCGTGCGCCCTCGGCCCCGTCCACCGCCAAACGTAAGAGACACGATGTCTTCTAACGGTTTCAGGTCGAAACCTGTTCCCACCTGCTGCTTGTCGGCACCGCTTTTCGACTCTTGCGGATGTGATGGCAAAACAAGCACCTAGCCTTGTATAAAATGCCTGTTGCCAGACGACGCTCGGCTATTCGTAGGTTATATATAACGTACGACGAATGTATAAACCTAGTTGATGTGACAAGTTTTTCCGACTAGTTCGAAGAACTGTTCCAATATTAAAGATGACTTTTCGCCACGTTCCTTTGTTTGTTCGGCCACAAAACCACTCTCTCGGTATTTCATAAAACTCGGCTTAGTTTTAAAGAAACCGTGTGCATCGATCGAAACCGAAACCGGATTTCGCTGACCAGAATTAGGCCACCTCAACGGGTCGGATCGGAATTATTACGACGCAGTTCTGCCAGCCGAAAGCCACATTCGCCACTACAGCTCAGCTGTTCATCAGTGAGGCATATCCTGTGGCTTAGGTTTTTTCTCGATTACCTCACGACGGCTGAATTTCGACAGCTGTTTCTGCTTCGCAAAGCCTCCCAAGCATAGTCGAATCCGCTCAGCTTCAAATTCGTCGTCTGCCAGTACGAGTGTTTTTATTTCAGTTGTTTGGAACAAACAGCTGTTTCAGATTATCAGCTGACACTGTGCGGAAAGAGAAATTTGGCACGACGCGCTTTAATGGGCATGTGTGATTAATATGAACATAAATATTTTACAAGTTTAGGTTTTACTATTCTGTTGAAGGCATATATCGAGTCTGCTGTATGTATAAATTTGTTTCGGTGATCATTCATAACTCTTTATGTCTTTTGTTTGTTTCGAAAGCTTAGCATTGTGTGTCGATTTTTTGCTTATGAAGGTAGGCAAGAGCTATGGTGACAGTTTAGACGTGTTTAGGAAATACAACTGAAAGAAGATGCCGGCTGCAGTCGAGTTTTCTCAGCGTTCCTGCGTTTCCTTTATTGTAACCATATAGTACTCCATCAGGAAAACGCTCTTCCAGTCTTAACGTTGGCCGACAAGTACAACGTCACAAGTTTACGGAAAGTACGACATTTGCGATCGCTAAGTTTTTGAGGTGCTTGTTGCTTACATAGTAATTTTGTAACAGGTAGCGCTCGATTACGCCGTAACTCATATAATACCACAGTTACAGCTAAAGGAAATTTTCCATTCTTGGTTTCAATATGGAACAAAGTGTTTCCATCAGGTACGCGTGGGCGCAAAACTCCCGATCTCACCCCCGTTACTTGTTGAATGTAAATAAACAGTGAGCGTCATTTCAGTTGTTAGCCAGTCATTGCGTCGAAATTCTGGCAAGCAGTTTCCAGGACATTATTTCATGCCCAGAATGGGAGAAAGAGTGGCTGTCCCTGGACAGGGAACAGCTGGCAGAGTTTCTGAAGAGTTCGGATCTGGTGGTCGTTAGTGAGTACGAACTGTGGCTGGCGGTCTTTAGATGGCTGCAGCACTCGGCCCATCTTGATCGACGCGGCGCCAACACCATGGAGAAGAACCTGATTTACATTTTACCGTTAATTAGGTAAACAGGCGAGGTTGAATCCTCCTTCTACGAATGTGGCTTGAATCTTTTTCTTCAGATTTCCGATGATGACCGCCGACGAACTGTGCCAGGTCGAGAAGTGTCCCATCGTCGAGCAGTATCCGAAACTGTTTCAGCCCTTCTTATATACAGCATACAAATTCCGTTCCTTGCCATTGAGCAGCAGAATGAATTGTCGCGAATTCACTGGAAGCCAGTTTCTGCTGCGAAACTATTCCGGCCTGCGATGGGACAAGCGGTTGGTCATCCAGGACTTCTCGTCAATCGCACGATACACAGAGATTTCGCTGAAAGTAAGGCCTTTCCTTCGCGATGAGGATGTTAGGTACGCGGCTCGTTTTGCGCAGATCAACACCTGCGGCAGCACGATTCCACCGCAGCCCTGGGACTGGGAGCTGAAACTGCACCCGAAAGGGTTCTCCGGAAATTGTGACGAGTTCCGCTGCTTCCTTGTCTCTAACGTCATCCTCGACCAGACACGAGCCGTCGAATACCTGTTGTCCATTGTCGATGACAAGAAGGTGCTCCGGAGCGTGACGGGAAAGAAAGTTTTCTCCAAATCCCGGTAGCCTGTGCACCGTTCATCCGAAGACACCATCATAACGTTAATGTATGCACTTTCAGGTACGGATCAGACCTGGAGATGGAGAAGAAAGTTAGCTTAGACGAAATATTCATGGAAAACTCGCCATTGCTAATCAATGACTCAATGATTCTTCAGTTTACCTTGCGACCAATCGAATAGCCCACAATTACTGTCGTCTGAAACCAGTAATATTTTATTTTATCGTTATAGCGTGCTTCACCGAAAGACGCTTCCTCTATGTACGTATACGCGCCGTTACGAGTGAATGTTTTGCATTTAGTAGCCGGAGCTTGGACGGTGTTGTCACTAAGTAAACACTGTCTTCTTTCACGAACAAGCATGTGCAGGTGTACAGTAGAGATAAAACATTCGTTTGCTTCGAATCAAAACTGTAATCGTTCAGTGGATTGTGAAATGAATAAATGTTGAACACGAGTTCCGTTTATTGGTTCGTTCTTGCAACGTCTACAGTACATCATTGAACTTCAGCGCTGAAACTTAAATCACACTATGGCGGAGTGTAGGTGGGGCTTCCGACGCTTCGCGAAATCCCGTGGTACCCCAATTAAGTTTGACGAGCGATCATTCAGTGGTTGAGATGACTCATGGCTTGACTAATTTTTCTGCATCTGTTTTTAGGTTAGTCCCTGATTTTCCTCCTTTCAATCCGGTAAGCACATCCTCAGTTTACTATTTTGATGCTGTGATGGCGACCATAAGTTTGACAGCAGGTCGAAACGGTATGTTTAGTCTGGTGGAACAATTCTCAACAGGTAGGCTTCGAACTCGAACTCCGAGTGCCGAGTTCGATTCCCTCGCTGTGCCATCATTGCCTTTATCACGAATTACCTTGAGAAAGGAATTTGCTACACGCTACTTCAGAGAGGGGTTAGTTACTCAGTTGATACAGCGTTGACGCAGAACCGAAAGTTCCTGAGTTCAGTCTCGGTCTTTCGAGGTTGATCACTCAGTACCGCTCTGATAAACGAGTAGCAAGGAAACAGGCGAATACAGGCTATGTTTATCGCATAGCTGCTATTGCTTTTGCCTTTAAAATTACGTCACTCCTAGCCCATAACATGCAAATGCAGATCAGCTTCCTAACCATTAACGTCTGACCAATATTCCGACGGTTAAAAACTTTTCCTTTCCTTGTATCCTTGACGGATAGTGGGGCTGCAAATTAATTGTTTATTGCAAGTGATAGTCTTTACATCTATGGCGACCATATCTTAATCCCGAGATATATCGCGAAACGTTGTCCTTCATTTTGACCATTACTGTTATAGCCATTCCCTGGGTTATTAGCCTCGAGACAAAAATTATTCGACTCGAATTGCTCTGCTTCAGTTACAGAAATGATTTGCCTGATAAACACAGATAGCTAATGAATAGCTATTAAACTCTAAACGCAGAAATGCTGGATGAAAATATGGCTTATCAAACAGAGAGATATCGATTCACTGCTTGTTTAAAATTAATTAAATCTCAGTTTTCCGATCCATGGTGCAACGCCCGTAAATCCATCGTTTGCGGACGTGTTTTTACGCCACATAAACTTAATCAATGCAAATGAAGCGGAACGAAGTTGTGAAAATAGATAACTAAAATTTCAATGGTACCATTCATTGTTACATTAATCCCTTCGAAAAATAACTGATCGATGATATCTTAACTGTCACTCAAACTGATCGGCGGACGAATCAGCCCATCATGCGCAGCGATCATTTGATTAATCGCCCGATGTCTGCGCGGTCACCGTCGGCAGGAGTGCTATTTTTCAGGGCAAGAGAGTATACAAGGTAGAAGGCATTGGAAGCGATACCGGAAGGCTCGTTTTATATGATATATGATATATAAACTTATAATGACGACGAAGAACACTGTCTCATACTCACATCGACTAGACGTATGAATGATGGATAGAAGAATGGACGGATGACTGAATGGGTGGGTGGGAAAATGGTGAAATGAATGAATTAATTGATTGATTATTTAACGATCGACTGACGAATCCAATAAGTAAGTTAATCACTTAGATGTTTGATTAACTGTTAATAATTTAGATTATATTATTGCTAATTCAGTCAGGTAATGATAGTGTTCTGGCATTATACTTTGTTAAAAGCTGCGATGTGAATAGCTCATACTGTAAGGAATTCATAGTCACTTATTTTAGAATTTTTGCTCTACGTAGCAGATATGGAGTTTAGATTGAAATCGCAAGATTAATTTTAAAATTGCATCTGAAAATTGATGTACTGTTTCTAAAGAAGAGGTATATGTTCATTTAGTGCAGGCTGATAAGTCGACTCAGTATTGCATTGTGCTGTTCACGTGAAGAAAGAGAAGCCATGAATGGCTGATATGCAGGACACCATTCCCCATACTCGCAACCAGCTCAGAATTCTAAATCTACTTCCGTATAGCGTTGCTGTTCATCTACAGACATGTGAAAGAATTGGTCTAAGTCACATGATCTAAGTTTCTATGTACTACAAGCTTATGAAACTATATTTTGTTTTATTGCGCGTCATTATGTAGTGCAAAACGTCGAAAAGACTTGGAATTTCATTTCAATAAATAACAGTTTTGGAATTGCCAACAGGCATCCGAAAAACAAACCTCCTCAGTTAATTATTTTGGCTGATGAGAGCTGGAAAATCCGGTCTAACCCTGCTACCTTGTGTGTGTGTGTGTGTGTGTGTAGATAATAGCTTTTTTAACTGTTGATGGAAGTTTTTCTCACCAAGGGGGAGAAATGTGGCCTTCCCTCACAAGTCATATATGTAGAAATCTCGCACTGCATTCTATGCCGTTTTGCTGTTTTCCTCGTTACTCGATAATTCAGTTTTTTTTGCATTACCTGATTATGAAACTGCACTCATAACTGCGGTAAAGGAAAAACACCATTGTTGACGACAAAGAAGCGTTGCCGTGACTGCAATCATAAACGGTCTGATTGGCACCATTCGCAAAACAAGGGAACGCATCCTCAATTATTAGTAAATGAACTCCGATTTCGCTGATGATGCCTGTTGTCCTCTGACGCTCAACTCGTGACAATAGCGGTTAAAACGTGCCAGGCGTGCGGAGCGATCAAGTTCAATGTGACACGCTGCCGTTTGCAAATAGAATTGAAAAACAGCGACAGCCCAGTCGGGCAAACGAAACTCACTAATATCCGGAAATGGTGGCACTTCAAAGATCGCCGTTCGACTTTGCGCGTTTTCAACGCGGCGAGTCGAAACTTCACAGAATGGCCAAATGAGTGACGCCTTTAACGAGCTGTTTGTTTTCGAAGACGCTGGTCTCTTGTCAACCCTTACTCATTCGTCGTACTTCTCAGGTTGGGACGAAAATGCGGCCCGTTGTCGGCCAAGATTATCTGGACACCGAAAATCACTGACGTCATTCATCGTCTGTCTGATCACTTGCCCACTTTGCAACGGTTTAAGTAAATTCATTCCTCTCCACAGCATAAAGGCTCTGTTCCGTCAACTTTGTTTATTTGTTTCCATATTTACTATGTCCTCTGTAGCACAGGGACACCGTTTGTGTTGATTTTCGTGCTGTCTGCTCAGCAAGGAACTGAAAGCCATGACTCAATTTGCGACGTGAACCAGTAAACATTTACCAAATCAGTGTCTCTGCGCTGACACCGATTTACGACACTCTTCGAAGTATTCACGTCAAAGTAAAGCAGTGATATTCCTATCGTTGTCGATTTGTCCTTCAGGCCTCCTAGACTACACAAACTTCTATCTTGGAGGCTGCGTGTGGTCTGCCTCGAGTTCTGACATGAAGATTTTCTTTATCAAAACCTGCATAATGTAATAAATGCGATTTTATTTCATCCAGTACTTATGTTGAAGAACAGCAAATTTTTGGAGTCGAACTTTCAGACGACAAACGAGGTATTCTGGCAGATCATTCGCCGCCTCAGCGATGAAAAGAGGTGCAACAGGAGAGTGCTAATGATCAAGCACGAAGGGTGATGTACGTTGACGATGGCGAGAATACTTTGAGCAAATGCAGGAGGACTTGCCTAAAACGCAACGAGGCAATCAACACTGCTCATTCAGAAGTCAGAGTCACAAAAGTTGCAAACAGCTTCCAAAATGGCAACACTGCTGAAATCGATTAAATCTGCTCGGAGATGATTAAAGTTTATGGCGAACAAGGCATGTTGTGATAACACGTGTCTGACAAGCTGCAAGGACTACGGGAAAGACACCAGTAGAATTGAAAACTCGAGTTGTAGTACCTCTGTTCGAGAAGAGGGACCATGGGGGCTTCTTCAATTACTAGAGTATTGCCTTATAGAGTCTCGCAGGTGTTGAAATGATACATCGGGCGAAAGCTAACTGAAAGATCCAAGAAAAGGAGTGTGACTTCACGTCGAGCGGAACATTTTAGAATTTGATCTTCCTTTCTCCAGATTCTTCAGAAATCATATGAGATTGCTATCCCTGATTACATGTGCTTTGTTGACGTGGAGAAAACCCGTACCGGATATATCGTAACAACTTGCTTGTGAGGATGCGTACAAACTTATGAAATCTATAGCCAGTTGCTACGAGCCATCCAGTCACTATATGATGATAGCAGATGCTGTGACAGAGTCAATAACGTCAAGGTTAGACCTCTCATCATTGGCACTGGTCTCCGCCAAGGCTGCATCTGTCTCCTCTCCTGTTTGTGTTGTACACGGATAGGACAGTGGGGTTTAGCCAAGGCAATGATTGTTTCAGCGTAGGAGATGTAGATACAGGAAATTTGCTGCTTGCAGACGACCTTGTTTTGTTGGCATCTTTTTGGGAAACAGCTCTCCACTATTCTCCTAACGGTTTTTAGCTAAGTGTTACGTATCTAAAACGGAAAGCCTGCTGTTTTCTTGTCCTCTTGCCTGTTGCGTTCTGCGGATAATTAAAAGTACAGTAATAGATGCTCAGAACTTCGCTTCAGGGTCGTATTTACTGGTGTTGAGAAATGGGAGCAAAAGATCGACCAGCGAATTGGAATAGCCAGTGGCGCTCTGCGTGGACCGGTTGAACCGCTGTGACCAAAGCAGATCTGAGTATGAAGATTAAGCTTTTAGTGTTCAAGTCGATCTTTATCCTCATGCTTACCTATGGTCATTAGTCGTGGACCATGAC